ATATATATTATTATATATATGATATATTATATATACTATATATAATATATATTATTATATATTATATATTATACATTATTATGTGTTATAAACCATTATCATTATAATATATTTATAATATATTTATAATATATCATAAATATATTATATGAGATATAATATATATAATATATATTATATACATTATATATAATATATAATATATTATTTTATATATTTTATATATTTTATATTGTATATAATATATTATTATATATCATATATTATACATTATTATGTGTTATAAACTATTATAATTGTAATATATATAATACATAATATATAATATATAATATAATATATTATATATAATATATTATATATAATACATTATATTATATATAATATATTATATATTCCATTTATAAAATAAATCATTATTATAAATAAATTATTTAGTAAATAAATTTATGGAGTAAATAAACGTTTCATGCTCTTAAGTCACCCGAGTTCCTCGTTTTCTCCTTTCCCGCTGAGGAGCAGATTCCTCTTGGGAAGAGGAGAAGATCTGGCCCGACCAGCAGGTTTGGGGCACGTGTTTTGGGAGCTTGGGGGGGGGTTTACCTCCTAAAACACTGTCCAGGTCCTTTTTGGAAGGGTTGATTTCCCCTCCTAAAATAATGTCCAGGTCCCTTTTGAGGGGGTTGATTTTGTCCCCTAAAACCCTCTCCAGGTCCTTCTTGTGAGGGTCATTTTTGTCCCCTAAAACACTCTTCAGGTCCTTTTTGAGGTGGTTGATTTTCCCTCCTAAAACACTGTCCAGGTCCTTTTTGAGGAGGTTGATTTTCCCTCCTAAAATAATGTCCAGGTCCTTTTTGGGAGGGTTGATTTTCCCTCCTCAAACACTGTCCAGGTCCTTCTTGAGAACATCGATTTTCCCTCCTAAAACCCTCTCCAGGTCCTTTTTGGGAGGGTTGATTTTCCCTCCTAAAACACCCCGAGGTCACCTTTAGAACGGGTCACTTGGGGAGTTTTGGGCCCATCCAAGGAGACGAAAATTCCCACGTTTTTTGTGTTCCTGCTCCAACACCTCCCCAGAATTTCAAGGTCTCCCTTCAAGGGAGAATTTAAAGGGCAAATTTCAGGGAGAATTTCAAGCTCTCCCTTCTGGAGGATCATCCAACTCCACACTCACCCTGCCCTCCCACATCCCAGATTCCGAATCCGACCAACCCTCCGGCGTCTCCCAGTCTTTGGGATCTCCCAGGATCTAAAAACAGGGAAAAACTTCTTTTCTTTGCTCATTTTGACATCGTTTGACGTCGTTTGTGATGTCGTTTGTGACGTCGTTTGTGACGTCGTTTGTGACGTCGTCTGTGACGTCGTCGTCGCCCCCACCCCGGACCTTCCAACCTGGAGGAACCAAAGGCGGTTTTGGGGGAATTTTTAGTGGGAAAATCAAGAGGGAAATTAGGGAATGAGTGGAATAAATTACCACTGAAGGCTCTCGTCCACCGGGCACTGCTGGGATTTAGGGGCGGATCAGATCCGAGAAATCCTCAAGTTCTTGAGGGACGGGGCCAAAACTGGCTCTTGATCCTTTGGCAGGAGGACAAAAAAAACGAATCCCAAAGCTCAGAAAATAAGGAAGGGGCCTAAACCTGAACGCAACACCCAGGAGATTCCCATGGAAGTCCGGAACAAAGCCCCAAAATCGCGGGATTGTGCCTAAAAATAGACAAGTGCTCTGGGTAACGATGAGGGCGAGGCCGTTTTTCCCTGGATAAAGTGAATTATTTGGGGGGGGGGGGGCACAAAAACCTTCCCTGGAGTTTCCTGCTTTTTCAGCCGACCCCAAACGCCGACATTTCGACCTCTGCATTTTTTTCCCCTCCAGCTGAGCCCTCTTTAAGACAAAACCGAAGCCAAACTATCCCGTCGAGCCGGGTTTAACCCCGGGGGGGCGATTTTATCCCTTCTCCCTTTTTTTTCCAGGGATGCGAAGGAAAAGGAGCTCTGCTCCTTTAAGCCCCGGAAAACTCCTTTGCCATCCAGGTGGAGTCAAAGCCCTTTCCCGGGCTATAAAATCGCGGGGGGGAGAGAGAGAGGCAGGAACAGCAGCTGTTTTCCTTGGATCTTCCCAAGCCTCCGGTCTCACCATGGTAAGAGCGTGTTCGGATCGAGCTCGACTTAAAAAAAAAATATAAGTCTCGATTGTTTTTTAACTTTTTTTCCCAAGTTTTTCCTCTTTTTTTCCCCCCTCCTCTTTCTCTCCTTCCTTCCTGCCGGGGTTTGTTCATTCCCAGCGGGTTTTTTGCTCTAATTCCCCATCAACTTCTGCCTTCATTGATTCGGGGTTTGCTCCTTATATGGGGAAAAGTCGAGGGATGTTGCTCGGAGCGGCCTCCGAGTTGCGAAGTTTCCGTCTCTTTATGACAAACTGAGTTTAATTTCCTTATTTTTTGGGGGGGCTGGAAGATCATTATCTCCATCCTGAGCTCAACTCTAAATTTAAACTTCTTTGCTTCTCCCCCCCCCTAAGTTTAACACCTCAAATGTTTTAAACCGAGAACTAAAATCCCAACTTTTAAGGTTTTTTCCCCTTTTTTTTTTTTTCCTTAAGAAGGAGCTGCCATGTTGCCTTTGTCTGCTCTTAAAAATCCCTTGGGATTAGATATT